TAAAAAATTAAACCTCATTTCAATTCTAATTGATTTTTATAAACAATAATACGTACAATACATAATTTGGTTTGATTAAAAAATTTTATTTGAAATTTTTATTTGAATTGACTAATGAAGTCTATTTCTTTTTAAATATATTATTTTATTTCTTTTGAATTAAACAATTTAATTGAAGAAGTCATTCAATTGAAAAATATTCATAATTAAAGTATTGATTTAATAAACATCTTTAAAATTATTTAAATGCAATTTCAGAATTTGTTTAGCTTAGTAACTTTTTTTAAAGATAGAATCTATTAATCAAGTTGTACAAGAGATAGTAAAAAAACAAATTGATGAGAGATTATCAAGGAGATGAACTGATAATAATTTCGAAAAGGAATATCTCATTAGCAAAGATGATATCTATGGTATCAAGAATTTAGAAAATGATATTCTTTATAATAGTTATTTAAAGAAAATATATGATAACGTCATCATTGCTATCTACAGTTATGAGTTATGTAATGAATTTACTTCTAAACACTTTATTGCGATATTAAGCATAGCTTTTGTTCTATTTATAGAAAATAATTATTTACCAAATAAAGAATATATACTTAAATTTAAAATAAATAATAAAAGTACTAAAGCAATATATAGTTTTAAAAATAATCCAGTTACAAATAAATCAGATAAAAAAGAAGTAGAAAATCCATATAGTATCGATGTAAATAAACAATTACCAGCTTTGAAAATCTTTCTTTGTGCAGTAGATGTAGGTAAAGAATATATTAATATGTTATTAACTTACTAGAATAACCCAAAAGCTATAATGAAAGCAATAAGATAGATCAAATATCAACAACACCTTCAATTACTATTGAACAAAAATTAGATAAAATATTACATTTAATAAACATATTAGTGCATGGACAAATTGTAAATAATTATCTAGATATTCCAAAATACTTGATTTTTGCTTCTACACTTATTAAATATGCTGAGAAAAACCCCAAGAAAGGAATGAGCTCTATTAGTGAAGAATTAAAAAATATTGATCCTAAAAAATAAAAAGACTCATATGGAAAATATAAATCGGATATGACAAAAACAATTAAAGCTCTCAGAACAGTTCCAAATATTATTGACTTAGCTCCATTTAAGCTAAAAATTTCACAGAAAATGATAGCTGAAGAAGTTACTAAAATGAAGGTAACAAAGAAAATAACAAATTTTTTAGAGACTTCAATAGAGATTTTAATTTGGTACAAGTACTTTGGTCCAATTATTACTGTTGGAAATACTTTAGGAGACTCAAAAACATAGGATTTTTTCAACAAAAATAGTTTTGAAAAGGCATGCGATTTAGTTAAAGGAAATGCTAAATTGTTTGATGATTTGAAAGCGGCAAATAATAATTATGGTTAGAAAATCGCTAACGCGATAAAACAATATGCAGCAAAACTTAACATCACTGATTTATCTCATCTCAATAATAAACCTATTTGTTATCCTGCTCCTCCTTAATCACAAAATAGTCTACTCAAACCCTCAAGTCCAAACAAAACTCCTACTAATTTTAGATTTATATTTACAATAGTAAAAAATCAATATAGTTTTCTACCAAAACCACAATCACCATTACCAAAACCACAATTTCCAACATTACCACCATCACTAAAAACACCATCAACAAAAACACCACTACAATTACCATTACCAAAAGCAGCATCACCAAAAACACCACCACAATTA